TCTAGCAATATGGTGGAACATGAGCTGTATTTTCTATCAAGATGCCATGCAGGTATCTGAAGGAGAAGGAAGATAGAGGAAAATGTTTGCAGCAGGCTGAACTTACAACAGTGTGGGCTTTCTACCTTAGTAAAAATGTCAAAAAATAAAGCATTAAGGTATTTCTTATACCCCGTGACCTGCCTGAGTGTGGTATCATGAGCAGCTCTATGGGAAACTCACTGGAGGGGCGTAACTTCTGCAGATGATGTTTGAGGACTGGGTTATGAAATTCTGCCCTTGCTATGATACCAATCATCAAACCTGGAAAGCCTCTATTATGAATTCCCCTTACAAATAATGGGATTCTTTTATTCATTAACTACAATGAAATGTCGTACATTAAATAATACTGGCACGGGGCATTTTTATTGCAGTAAATAAAGACCTCATACTACATTCACTAAATTACTAATCATAAGTCACTCATTCAAGAGACAGTGTGATGGAACCAGCGTTTTAGAGTCAGAGACTCTGTGTCCCAGGGCGGCTAGTGACCAAACAAGTCAGTGGCCATAGATTTCTCTGGGCCTGTTTCCTTGGCGGAAGATAGAAAAAGTACTGCTTTAAGATGCTCTCACACCTAAAAATCAGATGATGGAAACAGCTTTGGGAATTTAACTTTCACTTCATGTTTACATAAGACTGCTGTTATATTACTCAAATGAGAACTTCCGAGAATACTTTGCATTCATTTCAAAAGTTGATTGATTTTATTCTGTAAGTTATTTGACACACATCATGGCACTGTCCTGCCTCACTCATGCTGCTCTCTGCCCAGAATACCAATTTCTTTCCCCCTTGTCCCAGCAGGCTTCACCTCCTCTGCCTTCTGGGATCCCTCTGCCAGCAGCCACACCACAAAATATTTCCCATTTTGTGTACTCGTTGGTCTAATGCACCGTGTGTTGCTTGATAGCAATTGTCTGCAGAGCATCCTCCTGGTGAGAAAGTAAGCCTCTCCAGGGGAGGGAGAGCCCTTCCTCTCCTACCTGCAGCAGCTGAGCACAGAATGTGGGAGAAATTAAGGAGTTCAATAAGTGCTTGGCAAATTATTTAAATCAGTTACAATTTGGGAGGTAAATCTTCCTACACTTACATATCAATGAAAATTTATCTGCAGTGCTATCAGAGAGATGACAATGAATCTTTTGAGCCTTCTAGAAAATAAACTATCTCTAAAACACTTTAAAACTATCTATTCATTTGTCGAGAGTGCAATAGTCAATATGGAAACTGCCTCATCTATGTTAAGAAAATGCATTTCTTGGCCAGGCACGGTGGCTCACTCCTGTAATCCCAGGACTTTGGGAGGCTGAGGCGTGTGGACCGCGAGGTCAGGAGTTCAAAACTAGCCTGGCCAAGATGGTGAAACCCCGTCTCTACTAAAGATACAAAAATTAGCCAGGCATGGTGGTTGGCGTGACTGCAATCCCAGCTACCCAGGAGGTTGAGGCAGAGAATTGCTTGAACCCGGGAGGTAGGGTAGCAGTGAGCCTAGATCATGCCACTGCACTCCAGCCTGGGCAACAGAGCAAGACTCCATCTAAAAAGTAAAAAAATTAAAAAATAAAACTCTTTCTTAATAATAATGCCAGTAACCAAATCCCCGGCACCAAATAGTTGAAAAGATCAATAGCATTATTTAAAACCACAAAATACCTATTATTTTAACTTAAAAAAATAACTCAGATTAGCCTTCTTCTTGGGATATGCTTGTCTGCATCATGTTATCACCCTCTTCCGTCAGGGTCTCCCACAGGTACGTGAAAGGCAGGGTAGGGAGAAGATCTAGTGGTTGTTTATAAAAGTACACAGCATTTGAAAACTGCCTGTAGCCAGTAATCAGAAATATCCACACAGTCTAACACCATTTTGCTTGTTTCAGATGCTTTTTACTGTAAATTCACTTATTTCTTAACAAAAATTCCAGATGTTTTTGAACAATATTACTATTTGAAGGACCAAATTCTCCTTCAAGGTAGAAATGTTTTAACTCTAGCTAAACTCTTATGTCTCTTAAGCTACTCTATCAATGTGTATACTTTACATTAACAGTGTATGTGGGTCAATGAATATACTTTGACTGTCTCAAAAAACAAATATAGCATGAAAAATGAAAATTGACTCATTCAGATACTTCTATTCAAAGTGAAAGAAGGTATCCCTTAAGGTCACTACTATTAGGGGTAATACAGCATAATACTACGTGATAACAAAACTCGATTCTGAGAAAAAATCCATTTATGAGAATAAAAAGAACAGGAAAATAATACATCAAAACACAGATTAATTGGTATAGCTTTAGGTGATATCTGTCCTCATTTTCTTCTATTTAACATTTCTTATAATGAATGCATATTGGATTGTGGATTTTTTTGAGAGGAAGTCTTGCTCTGTTTCCCAGGCTGGAGTGCAGTGGCCTGATCTCAGCTCACTGCAACCTCTGCCTCCCATGTTCAAGCA